TGAAAAACCAATATGTTTTTAATATCCAAAAAATAAAAAGTTATTTATATGTTTGACTTAAATAGAAATAAACCCTAATTAGCTATAAGATGAAAATTAAACTGAAACAACAAACTAATTTAAAAGTATGAGTAAAATAAAATATAAAGCATAAGTTTTGTATAAATAAAAGCCAAATTTGTATATTTCTAAACAGTAACTTATAGGCCTTATCGGAAGGTCTTCTCAATATTTAATTACTATAAATTTGTAACCCTAGAAAAAAAAATTACCTTTTAAATATCTTGGTAAAATTTTAATTTGATCCAATCATCGAATTTAAAATTATAACCATTAATATAAAGCTATATAACCAAGCTCTAGACATGTTTAACAACCATATCTCTTGTTTGAATCATATTGATCAAGTCTTGACATTTTTTTAACTTAACTTCATGCTTATTAAAATCCTTGATGGAGTTCTTAAAACTTGCTTGATCCAAGTGTCATGAATTAGCTCATCAAATGTTTCTTTGATGCTTTTGGCTTTTGTCTTTATAATTGATTCAATTAATATATACAATGAATTTTGTGATATTACCTATTAATTTTCATTAAAAAAGGTTAAAACATTATTTAAAATTCATCATCTTCAATCTTTATATTTTTCTAAGTTGTGTGAAATTTGATGTTAACTAGTATGAGAAGATGAAAAAAGCTTTTCCTAGCCACTATGGTAGCTTTAGAGATTTTGATTTCACTGAACTTGGAATAATCCAAAGTGAAAACCATATACCTCAATTGATGTTCTTCTAATACACTATTTGATTAAAAAAAATTGTTCTTCTAATACACTATTTGATTAAAAAAAATTATTCTTCTAATACACTATTTGATTAAAAAAATTGTTAAACAAAGCATTTCAGCTTCAACAAACATGAAGAGACTATACCAGCACAACAAGAAAATCCTAATAACCCTATTTTTCCCTAACTAACCCCTAAAACCTCTAACTTTATATTAATTTTCCTAACCAACCCCTAAAACCTCTAACTTTATATTAAAAAAATCTATTTAATCTTTTTAATTTCACCTCGTTGCTTTGATCTTCTTAAAAAAGTTAAAAACTTTGAGTTACTTGCATCTATTTTTTCTTATATAATTGAAGTTTATGAAAGTGCAAATAATATTCATAAAACAATTGAATTGTTTTATAAAATTTCAAAGTTTAGATGTGTCCTTTATGTTCACTCACTCATTATTTTGATTTCTACACATCAAATCAAGACATATGATTGGTTAATATCAGTCTAGTTAGTCAATAAAAATAGGCCAATCAATGTGTGGCTATAAGTGGTGATCATAATAATAACTCCTCTATTTGGTGATTATTAAAAAGAGTGCAAAACCTAGTCGTGGATGTTTAGGTAGAGATACAAATCTTTCTAAGTAAATAATCGTTCAAAACCTAGGTTTATTTTTGTTGATTTTGTATTTGTGAAGAGGAGAGAGAGAAATCATGTATGAAGAAATAAATATTTTTTGACTAATTTGTTGTTTGTGGTGTTTTTGATATATTATATATAAGGGTAATTTAGTTTGTTTCTTTAGTTTGAAATTTTGTATTGACCTATGGCTATAAGTGGTGATCATAATAACAACTCCTCTATTTGGTGATTATTAAAAAGAGTGCAAAACCTAGTCGTGGATGTTTAGGTAGAGATACAAATTTTTCTAAGTAAATAATCGTTCAAAACCTAGGTTTATTTTGGTTGATTTTGTATTTGTGAAGAGGAGAGAGAGAAATCATGTATGAAGAAATAAATATTTTTTGACTAATTTGTTGTTTGTGGTGTTTTTGATATATTATATATAAGGGTAATTTAGTTTGTTTCTTTAGTTTGAAATTTTGTATTAACCTAGGATATAAAGTGTATTTAAAAAAAAAAGAAAAAAAAAGTAAAATATGAAGCTCGGTGTAATTAATCCTTAGAAATAATAAGAAACCAATTTTAGGAATATTACTAGTTGATTTTTATCTCAAAACCTTAGTTTTATCGTTCTGGAATTAAAGAAATAACTCATGGTTTTAAATAACTAAAAAGGTTAATTAATTTTTTTAAGAAAACAATAAATAATTTAGAATTTACTCTTTTTGCTATGAGGATAAATTTTGTTTTGTTTTTTATAAAATATTGTTTATCAAAACATTTTTTATTGAATAAATTTTTACAATATTTGATAAATACTAATTTAAAATAAGTTGGTGGTGAAACAACAATGATGCTCATGTTTGCGATAATAAAGATGAGATAACAACAATTATTGTGATGGAAAATGAAAATGGTGACTAAATAAAAAATAAATAAAGGGATGATAGTAATAATAGTTGAAATATTTGAAGAAATATGAGTCAAATATTATTTATAAAATATTTTAAAAATTTTTATGAGTTGAAAGTATTTTATTATAAAATATTTCATATAAAACAAATAGAGAAATATTTATTTTACAAGTTAATCTATGCAAAATAAACTATCCTTAAACAAAACATTAAGAGTTGTTGAGTTTTTTATTTTTATTTTTTTTGGGAAATAAAATTGTGTTTGTTAGTGTTTTAATAGATTATATTATATTTAGATAGTTCATGTTACACCGTAAGTTGGATTAACATTCTCCTTACATAAAAAGATGTTTAAGTGATGCCGATATTTTATAAAAAACAAGAAAAATCCAAGACTTGTATCATTGATTTATCGAGTTCAATAAACCTGGTTATTTAATGACATGATTAAAAAAATATCAACAATAAATGAAACAAGCAAAACATTTTAACAATAATCAATTATAAAAAAATAAGTTATCAATATTATACTTGAAAGATGAATTAAGAAAAACATGTTGAAAACTTATGATTATTCTATTTAGAAATGACAATATGTACCTATATGTCAGATTTCTTAATATTAATATCTTACCCATTATCATTTGGGTAAAAAATTTAGATATTACTATTATTTATTAAGCAATAAAAAATAAAATAGTTGATATATATATGAAGTATGTATATGTATATGAAATGTAAAATGATAAATATTATTCATATATATATATATATATGTGTGTGTGTGTGTTTTATATCAATTTCCATTTCTATCTCTATCATAGACATTGCCTCAGCACTGGAAAGAGCTTATCAAGATGACTCTAATGCAATTGTGAAAGACTACACAATGACACAAAAGGAGGTGGTATGCCTTGTTAGATAAACGATTCAAAAAGAAAATAAAATAAAACATTAGAAAGTGAGCATCTAATACTTATATTTAATCAATTAAATTAAATTAATTAAAAAAATATATGAAGAAAAGGCTAAATTAACAAAAAAAAAACAAATAAATAGACTCGAGATAACTCATGTCATTTTTAAAATCATTAACAAATCCTATAAAAAATAAATAAATAAATAAATGAAAATAGAGTTCAATATCCAAATAAATAAATATTAAAGAATGAAAATGAAAAAACACGAGTTTGAAAAAGAAAAGAAAAAAGCAAACTAGTTCAAATCTTCTAAACCTGTGTTAATTTTTTAAACTCTTAACTCGTGAAATCTTAGTTCTAAGCTCTATAAAAAAGTTTAATTCCTAAGTAATTTAATGTTAAAGGATAAAATAAAAAAATTTAAAAATTTACCAAAGTAAAAAATATAACAATGAAAACAATAAAAATCAAATCTGTTAAAGAGAAAAAAAACCAAAGAAGGATGAAATAGTAGAAAAATATATTAATTTTAAAATTTATCTAAAATAAAACCAATAGAAATAAAAAGAATAGGGACAAAATCTGACAAATAAAAAAAATTAAAAGAGGATGAAATTTAAAAAAACTCAAAAATTAAAAGAGGATGAAATTAAAAAAAAACTCGAATTTTATGAATTATTTCAAATAAAATAAATAACAATCAAAATAACATAGGTTAAACCTAAAGAAAAAATAAATTAAAGAATTGCTTTGAAATTTTAAGGGTCATACATGAAAATTAAAGAGATAATAGAAAATAAAAAAGAAAAAAAAATGCTAGAATCGAGCTAAAGGTCAACAAGCCACACGTACTACGTAAAGATGAAAGCATCATTCAAATAATTCAAATAATGTTTTAAAAGCTATGGTTTGGCTATCAAATATCTTCTCACACATGCTTGAATGAAACAAACAGAACCTACTAGTTGATGCATGTGCTTTAACCTTTTTTTCCAATAAAATTTATATTTATTAAATTAATAAATTATCTCTTAATCAACTTGATTATAATAAAAAAAATATGATGAAAATATAACAAAACATCTTATTACAAGTTAAAGAGATTTTGCTTTGAATATAATTAGTCATTTGACTATATTTTAAAAATAAAAATACAAAAACACCGTGGATGCTAATTTAATTTTTTTTTTCATTTGACTATATTTTAAAAATAAAAATATAAAAAAACCACGGATGCTAATTTAATTTTTTTTTTTGCTTTTAAAGCTAATTTACTTATTTAAATATATTTTAAAAATATTAGCAGCCTTATTTTTTTTATTAATATAATAATGGTTAAGTAATTCTTGTGAAATTACAGTATTATCTTCTAAATAACCTATTATTTTTTTAAGAGAGTAAAATAATTACTACACTATACTATTCAAATTCACAATTAATTTATAATGAAAAATTAAATTTTATTTATTATTTTTTTAAGCTAATAAGTTTCAATCATAATTTTTATTTAATTTATTTTTTACACTCTTAACAAAAATATTTTAAGCACTACAATAGCAATAAATATGAATAATAATTTAATCTCAAGTCATTAGTTGTGTTTTTTTTTAAATTTATTTATTTAATAAATAATAAATAAAATATAAATATTACTGAACCCAATATATATATTGAATAACAAAGTATAAATATTTTTTTGTTCTAATTTGTTTATAATAAACAATGGATATATTATAAATACAGTAAAAAGTGAGTAGCCATTATAAACCCTAATAATAAGCCTAGGGTTTTGCTAGCAGTCTGTGCCACTGACACCCACCATAGCAAACCGTCGTAAGATATCGGTGGCCGCTGCTGCCCCCTTCCCGCCGTCGCCCTGAGAATATAATTGCAAGAACTATTATAGTAGAAGCAAGGAAGAAGAAAAATGTGGTATCTCTGCGTGTTTTATCACAGATTGCTAAGTTACAGAAGGGCAGAAGTGGAGTCTCTGGCAGAAATGTTTGGGGTTTTTTCGAGTTTGGAATGGATGCTTCCAGAAAATCAGCATCCCGACTCTCCTTTCCATTTGGTCAATCTTCCTTCAGAAGATATCGCTCGAAACATTGCCAATCGAAGCATACTTGTCAAAGGAATCTATGAACTTTGGGGAGAAGGAAGTAGCTTTGAGCAACTTGAAGAGGCTATAAAAAGTTATCCGGAAGACCGAAAATTGCCTTACTTGACTTGTGAAACTACTTTCAAGGTCACTGTTGACAGCTTTGGAAAGGCAATCAGCTTCCAGGAACAGAATGACCGTATCAAGAGTCTTGCCTACATCCCTTTCAAGGTTTCTTTCTTTTTCTTACTCAGTAGTTTTGATTCAATCTTGCCAACATTGATTAATAGATGGACTTAGTGTTCTTATGTCTTTTTTTTTGTGAATGATTGGGATTACATTGAACCATTTTAAGAAACTTGTTATGCTCATTCATTGCCATTTATCAGGGCCGAGTTAATTTGAAAAACCCAGATATCAACTTCTGGCTCATGGAAACTGATGACTATGGAGCTCCCAATGGGCTTCCACCGGTTGTCCAGAAAAGAATCTTTTTTGGTCGACTGGTTGGTGGTGCTGACAGGAAGCTCTTACCAACTTATCAGTTGAAAAGCCGCAGATATCTGGGCCCAACTGCCATGGACGCAGAGATGGCTTTCTTGATGGCTAACCAAGCACTGGTCATGCCAGGGAAACTCGTCTACGATCCTTTTGTTGGAACTGGCAGCATTCTTGTTGCTGCAGCTCACTTTGGGGCAATGACCATGGTTTGCATTTTATTGCCCTTTTCTTTCATGCTAATTTGCTTTCCATCTGCTGCCTGCCTGTCAAATTTCAAACAAAAACTTTCAAATTTCAAACAAAAACCTATTTGCTTCTTATATTAACATCAACCGATGTAAATTTCTCAGGGTGCTGACATTGATATTAGGGCTGTACGTGATGGTCGTGGACCTGACTGTAATGTTTGGAGCAATTTTAAGCAGGTGAATGTGGGAATAAATTGTTTATTAGGTTTTGTGTTGTGTGACTGAAAATACTTTGTGAAACTCAGTTTATTATCATAACTGATGCATTGCTGAACTCTCCTTGTATGTAAAACAATTGTTGTAGAGTTAAAATATCTTTCTTCTTTGTAATTTTGTTGGTTAGGTTATTTGAGGAAATAACATCAAACTTGCATAAACAATGCTTATTTGTTAATGCATTTTTGCAGTACGGATTACCCTTGCCAGTTGCTCTTTTAAGGGCAGATAATAATCTTCCTCCTTGGCGATCTGGATTAAAAGAGGTAATCTTTTTTGATAATGGTTATTTCTTACTAAATACATGACTCCATTCCACCCTCTTGTGCCTTTATTTGAATTCAGAGAGGCATGCTGAATTTCCGCCAGGTTTTTGTGATTATGTCTTTATGCTGAAGCCAAACCAAATAATATATTGTTGCAAGACAATATCAGTGGATTTCCTGATTATTTTGCTATCTAAAACTAAAAACTAAATCCATTACTTAGGTGCTTGTAGTTTGCAAATTTAATACCAGTGCTTTGTTCAAATTCAGCAGTTAAGTTTGTTTGGCATTGTTTGGTTTGGACATTTTTCTCTTTCCTCATTTTGGTGCAGAGACGTGTTCGCTGTTCAAATAGAGACAGCTCTATATTAAACATGGTACACCACCAAGGTTACCTTAAATTTGTTTATGTGAACTATGCATACTTTCAACATTAATATCATGAGTTAAAACATGGGTTGCTTTTGATGTCTTGCCAGGTGATTTAAAATGGCAAGGAAGCCTGGTTGGTGAGGGCTTTGACAGTTGATGAGATAGTGTTATTTGCTTCTGTTTGAATACTCTTATGTTCTCGAATTTGTGTTCTTGAACATGAAAAATAGAAAATGGTATCTGGTCATTTTTTAATGAATAATTCTTCTCTGCAAGAGAGTTTTGAAAAGCATTGAAAGTATCTGTCTTGGTTTCAAAACATTAAGGACTGTTTTGCACAAGTGATGGAAATGTTCTGAAACAGAAGAAGCTTTAGGAACATGAACCATGCTGGCCCTAAGCATCTTACTTGCCTTGTAGCGTGTATTTTGAGTTCAGAATTGAACTGAAGCTCTGATTGTACAAAAAAAAGTGGGAATGAATCCCATCTGACAGATCTTTTTTCATAACTGAAAGGATAACTTGATGGAGATGACCCTAGCTGCAAAAGCCTTTTGTTTGTTTAAAGGAAACCCTTGTGGGTAAGCTGTGGAGATCTTGCACCACCCTACAGGGAGGGACGAGTATCAACGAGTGCTAGATGCCTAGGAAGGAATGAAAAACCAAGTTGTGCTTGGCCGCGCTTCCCAGGCTCAAACTGTTTTCCACCAGACTAAGCCTTCAGGGGCTCAAGTTCTTATGAAACTTGAAAATAATTTTGATCACCTTTAGAGGTCAAAAGTAGTTCTTGGGCAAGGAAGAGTTTTCCAGTATTACTAGGCGCTGTTCCGATAGTATTCTTTCAACATGCTTTTTGTGATTAATGATGTTGATGTGCTTTTGTACTTTCAGACGATGACTTCAGGTTCTTTATTTGTAAATGATTTGACCTTTGCAGATCATTTCTCTTCTTTTTCCTTGGGAGCGAGTAGTTTTAATCTTTTTAACCTCTTTCAAAGTTGCTGGCAATTGTCTTCAACTTTTCTATTTCAAGATGGGAACTTGAATGCTTGCTCTAGCTCTATGTATGGTGGTTTATGTAGTCTTCTGTTTCATGGAAATAATAGCATGTTGATATAGGTACCTGCTAACTTATTTTGTCTTCATACTGTTTCCTGATTGTTGTGTTGATTCAATTTTTTGCTATTCAATAGATTTTTGATGCCATAATCTGTGACCCGCCTTATGGGGTTCGTGCTGGGGGACGCAAGTCTGGTGGCCGGAAATTGCTCAAGGGAATTGTGGGCCCTTACACTGTTCCTGATGATAAGAGGACTGACCACATACCCTCTACTGCACCTTACAGCTTAGCCGAGTGTGTGCATGACTTACTTGACCTTGCTGCTAGGATGCTAGTAATGGGTGGCAGGCTTGTATACTTTTACCCTGTATTGAGCGAAGGTGATGTTATGGAAACTCACTTTCCAGAGCACCCATGTTTCAAATTGATTGCATCTTCTGAACAGATTTTAAGTTCCCGTTACAGCCGGGTATTACTAACCATGGTGAAGACAGGTTCATACACCGACAAAGTGGCTGAGGCAGCCAAGACCAAGCATCAGGAGTTCAAGGAGAATTATGTGAAGTGGTTAGAACATGGCAATCTCCATTCTTCTGTTTTCGGTCCAGCTCATCTGCATTTAGGTGAAGAAACTGATTCTAAATTATGTAAAGAACTGAAACCAAAGTACAGAGGAAAATATGTATGACATAGCTGCACCTCCAGGTTGTTTAATCTAGGAAATTATGCTAGAAAGAAAGAAAGAAATAGTAGCTCCGCATTATGCTTTGATGACTGCATTTTGCTTTGTCTTGTATTTTCACCTGGTGGGGAAAGAGGATAGATGGAAGAGTAATTATGAAAGCCATAACAATGCATCTGTTTTGTCTGCCCCGTTCGACATACGAATCAGTGAGAAGTCAGCATTTTTCACTTGTACCATCATCTTTAGCCGGATTAATATAAACCAGTGACACTCGCTCACATCAATTTCTGCTTTCTTTTCTTCATTTTGACTGCGCTTTTAGTCTTCTATCCCAGTTGCTTTTTCACTGCTCACCTTTTTGCATCTTGAGCCCCTTTTGCTTGTATGAAAATGAATTCCAATGGAAAGGATTTTCGAAAAAAGGTATGAATTTTCCATGTTGGGGTGTATTTGGTGTGGCACATGGTACTTCAGTCTTTTCATGCCTTTTATTTGTACGAGTACTGGATAAAAAGGATTGTCCTCTCTTTTTTAACCAAAAATTATCTTTGTTGTTCGCAATCTTCCTCGGTACTTGGTATGACTTGGACTTGGGAATTGCCTGGTGGCATTATGAGGTGGTTGACGGTATCTGTCCGTTCCTCGTTACGTTGGGAAGGTGGACATCAAGCCAGTCCTCCAGGTTTTTGCAATGTATTATGAACATCCCAATTTTTGCAAGGAAAACATACATATTACATTATGAACATCCCAATTTTTGCAAGGAAATATCAATGGTTTTAAACATACATATTAAATCCGGTTCGGGGTTAATATGGTCAAGGATTTGTATTTTAGATTTTATGGGTTAATTTAAAAAATTAAAAAAAATAAATTTTTAATATTTTATATGAAAAAAATAAGAAAAAATCCATATAAATATAGGCTATATATTAAGTTTAAAAGAATATTTTAAAAAAGTTTTTCTATTCCACATTAAAAAGATATTATATTAAGTTTTTAAATTGAAGTATTTAAATCAAAAGAGTTTTTTTATCTCATTTGAAAAAACATAATTTTTTTTAGGAAAATAGAATATATATACTAATGAGTTTCAAATTTTACTTAGAAGAAATATAATTTTTTTTTTTAGGAATTGAGTTTTAAATCTCACATTGAAAAAAAATAGTTTTTTTTTTGGAATATAGAGTATATATACTAACGAGTTTTAAATCTTATATTGAAAAAACATAGTTTTTTTCTTGGGAACATAAAATATATATACTAATGGGATTCAAATCTCACATTAAAAAAATATTATATTATCATTTTAAGTTGAGGTATTTAAATCAAAAGGTTTTTTTATCTCACATTGAAAAAACATCTTTTTTCTTAGGAACATAGAGTATATATACTGATGGGTTTCAAATCCTATATTTAAAAAAAAAAAGGTCTTGCTTGGATCTTGCCCGGGTCGCTCGGGTCAAAGGTTGACCCGTCGGGTCGACCTAGTTTGGTCGGGTCGTTGCACCGGCCGGTTTAACTAGCCCCTAGGTTGACCAGGCTGGGCCTATCCAGGTTTAGTACCTATGGTTTTAAAAACCGTTTGGTTGTACTGTGTTCTTTTAAATTTTAATTTATTTTGTTTAAATTTATTTTTTATATATATTTTTAGATTGTTTTGACATGCTAATGTCAAAAATAATTTTTTTAAAAAATAAAATATTATTTTAATGTATTTCTAAACAAAAAAATACTTTATAAAGCAATTGCTATTACATTTTCAAACATTCATTTATTACATAAAACGAGCCAAATTAATTTTTAAAGATTCAAATTTTTTGGGATTTAATTACGCAACCTTGGTTTATTCTAGGGCTGAATTTAAAATCTTGGAAATGAGGTCACATGGAGCACAAACATTATCCGTATCAAGAAAATGGGTTCATATGGCCTCATTTGTTCTATAGAAAATGGTTTTAAAAAATTAATTTTCAAACTTTTTCAATTTTGTTTATCATTAAAATAACTAATCAACGGAAAACATTTTTCAACTAAAAAACATTTACCTTAATTTTTAGAAGAGGTTTTTCGGACAAAATACACTTTTTGTAAATTATAAAAAATAAAAGATATTATATTATTTGTTAATTATATCAAATTTGATCATTAATCTTTTAGTTGTTATATATCCTGTTTTGAATATTGTTTTTTAGAATTTGATTTAATTTTATTTTTATATCAATTTGCATTCTCATTCTTTTAATTGTTATTTTTTATCCACTTTTTTAATTGAAATATTTTTATTTATCAGATTTGGTTCTAATTATTTTAATTGCTATTTTTTTATTTGAAATAATTTATGAGAATAGATTTTTTTTCAATTTTATTGACTTGTAACTTTTTATCTGTTAGATTTAGTTTCTATTCTTTTAATTGCTATTTGTTTTATTTAAAATAATTTATGAAAATAATTTTTTTAATTTCATTTCTAATTTTTTTTATCTATTATAATTGGTCCTCGTTCTTTTGATAAATTTGAAAAAAAAAATTAATCTCGTTCTTTTGATAAATTTGAAAAAAAAATTAATACATTAATAAGTCATTTTTTAGCTTATTTTTTATTGAATAGCTAAAATTTGAAAAAAAAATTTAACTCATTTCTCGATACTGTCAAACATAAAAAGATAATTCATTTTAAAAAAATATATTTTCTATGAAAACTACTTTTTTAAAAAACCTTTCTAGCAAATAAATGAAGCCTAGAATATTTTAGGTCAGATCATGCATAAATATTATTGGATGAAGTCAACTAGTTCATATTATATACTAGCCAACTTACTGATATATACCAATGCTCCATAAAAGCTAACATTGTTGACACATTTATTAACTTCAAGAAAATAATTATTAAGATATCTAATCTTATGTCGAGGAGAATAACTATATTTTTTATTTAATTATATGTCAATAATTTTTATTTAAGTTTCACTAATCATTTTTTTTAAATGCATCCTTTCAGATTTTGCATAAACAACTATCTTAACATGTATTAACTTTTATTAAAAATTAATTTTTATAAAGTTTGTACAATAATATAATAATTATATATATGAACAAGAATAAAGAAATGAAATCTCCATGCCTACCCTACCTTTTATCATTATTGATTTTTTTAAAAAATATTATTAATTAACAATACACTAAAACACATGGAGAAATACTGTAACAATAAATAATACTTTTCCCTCATGTTTTGGTGTGGCTCTAAAAACAATATTAGTCTTTTTTTATTTTTTCTTTGATTTTTTAATTAATATTTTTTTTTTAATTTTATCCTTTAATATTATTTTTTTTATTGAGTTATCTCACCTTCATTATAAGAATAGCAGGTTTGGTGGGTTAACTTGATTAGTTATGATTATTTTTTCTTATTTATTTATTTTTACTAATTTCATCCTTCAATAGTGAGTTAATTGAGAATTAAATATCATGATTTGTTTTATTTGCTTCCTATTAGATTAATTAGGTATCTTAACCCAAGAATAATGTTTAACAGGTTAACTAATTGACCGGGGTCAAGTTTTGTGTTTTTTTAATTTATTATTTTTCAGTTTTATCATTTAATGTTGAGTCAATTAAGAATTGAGTTTCATAATTTGTCTTGATTTGTTTTCTATGAAGATATCTTGATCTCATGATCAGGGTCGTGAGTTTTGTATTTTAACCCTGATTAAATTGAATATTTTTTTTTTATTTTCTTTCTAAGAGGTTATCTTGATTTTGTATTTTAACCCTGATTAAATTGAATTTTTTTTATTTTCTTTTTAAGAGGTTATCTTGGTCTCTTATCCTTCAATATTGAATTTTTTTTTAGTTGTTCTTGTCTCATAATTCGAATTGCGAGTTTGATAGGTTAATCTATTGACTAAGTTATTTTTTTAATTGATTGTTTTTTAATTTTACCATTTAATATTGTCGTTTTTTTTTTAATTTTACCATTTAATATTGTCTTTGACTCAGAATTAGACTTTGGGATTTATTTTGGTTTGATTTTTATGAGGTTATTTTGGATTTATAATTAAAAAATAATACTTAACGAGTTAACCCGTATTAACTTAGCTTAATTTTTTTAGTCATTTTTTATTAAATTTTATTGTTTAATACTTTGTTCAACAAGATCAATCGGAATTAAATTTTTTATAAATTTTATTGTTTAATACTTGGTTCAACAAGATCAATCGAGAATTGAGTTTTATAGTTTGTTTTTATATTTTTTTAAGGGGTTATCTTAGTTTTATGACCAAAGTCATGGATTTAACAAGTTAATCTAGGTTAAATCATGTTTTGTTTTCTTTTATTTTTATAAAGTTACCTTGATCTCATGACCAAGTTCATGGGTTTTGCAGGTTAAATTGGAATTTTTTTTTATGTTTTTTAATTGATTTAATTTTTTAGTTTCATCCTCTAATATTGAATTGATTGAGAATTAAATTTTTAAATTTGTTTTGATTTTTTTCATTGAGTTATCTTAGTCTTATGACCCGAGTCGCGAGTTTGACAGATTAACTCGGGCTATTTTTTTAGTTTTTTTTAATTGATTGTTTTTTAATTTTATTCTTTGATATTGAGTTAATTGAAGATTAGAGTTAATTTTATTATTTGATATTGAGTTAATTGAAGATTAGACTTTGTAACTTGTTTTGATTTGTTTTATATGAGGTTATCATAGTCTCATAACCCGAGTCATGGATTTGACATGTTAACTAAGATTGATTAAAGTCAATCCAATATATTTTTATCTTAATATTAAAAAAATATTATCATGAAATTATTTTTAATCAAACTATGTTTTTATGAGTCATTCGAGTTGATTTTAGACGTATAAAATCAAACAGATCACATCAGGTCAACCTTTAACTTTTATTTGGTTTAATGTTTTTCATTACAAATATTAATAATATTTAAATATATTTTTACTCTTAAAAAAATTTAATCCAATTCATAACATAACATGACGAGAAATAACAATTTAGTTATTTTTTTTATTAATATAGATATCCAGACTAATTTACACACATATCAACTAATCCTACAAATCTTAAATTTAATAACAATATAAATTTTTAATAATTATTATATTAATAATCACAAAACTCAAACCTCAAACTAATAAAAAAAAACAAACCTCTTTAATTTAGTCTTTTGCAACTGAACAATCTAGTTATTATTGGTACTCCTCGTGAGTGATATAAGCAGGTGAATCCTTGCGTCATACATCCTTTTCACAAACAAACAAAAAATAAAAAACAAAAAAACAAGAAAACAATAACAAAAATGCAATCATAGTAGGAAAAGCCCAATAGCAGTACAGTGGTCAATGGGCTCCACTTTTCTGACACCCTCTGCCTACCACCATATACCTCAACTTGAGGATCTATCCAACCAAAAAAGAAGGTACAAGCACGTACCGCACGCACACAGCCGCTCCTACATTCTCCCTTGCAGTCCTTTTCTATCCATCTCACCATCATAAGCTCACCCCTTCCATGCGGTTCCAACCTTAAGAATTGCATGATTTTTCCCTTTTATTTTAGATAATATTTATTTTTATATTATAAAAATATTTTTGAAAATGATAATTTTTTATTTTTTATTAAATTTTTTATATTTATAAATTATTTTAATGTACTGATATTAAAAATAATTTTTAAAAATAAAAAAAATATTATTTTAACATATTTTTAAATAAAAAATATTTTAAAAATCAACCGCTACTACATTCTCGGATATCCTTAAATATATCTTTTTATATACCGCTTATGTGCTATGTGCATCAATATAAAATTTATTTTTAATTGAATCTTAAATATTTTATTTATATAATAATTAATAAAAAAATCATTATTAAATGGTAATACAATAAGCAAACTCAAATTAGGTATTAGTTGCAATTTATTTTGTTGATGGAGATGGATGAAAGCTAAGCATTGCATGGTTTTTTTCCCGAAAGAAATCCTTTGGATTTGCTAATGTATACTTAACACTTAATCTATTCATAAATGAATCTTAAACCGCTACTAATTTTCTCTCATTAAAAGATAATTATTATTTTTGGGTTTTATCTAAAACTAAAACCTTAAATGATAATACAGTAAATACATCCATTTATCAACTGCATTAAGTTTTTAAAGTTAGAAAATCCCGTATAAAATTTTATTTTTTAATATTAATATATTAAAATAATTTAAAAATAATAAAAAATTTAATTTTAAATGAATAAGATTTAAATTTTAACCAAAAAAAAGTTGAAACCCACTTTCCAAACAGTGGCTGACGAATCAGTTTATAATTTCTAATCCGAGCTTGCAAGTACACACGACGAGACTTTCCACTCATCAATGTACAAAAACCACTATCTACAATTGGATCGAGCCTTGATATATAATGGAGCACAAAGTTGACAGCATGCTAAATCTAATCTAAATTGTAATTATTTTGGCAAACTTATTTCATCAAGATCGTCCAAAGATAGAAAAACTTCATCTAGACATGAGAGCTGGTCTGTTCCACTGTCGTCCTCGTCAAGATCTCGCTCGTAGACTCGACAAATAACCCATTTACTATAATCCTGAGCAAGCCAAGAATCCAAAAAACAAGAGGGCCTAAGAGTTAGTATATAGGTGGTGATCGACAGCCAAATCAAAGCAATATAAGAAGAAGAAGAAACAGGGAAAAACCCCACAGAAGCTCCCTGTTTCTTATGAGCAATCAATTCCGATTAGATTCACGTACTTGTTTTTGCCGGTTTCTTGTTTTAGTAGAGGCAGAAGTGCCAAATCCTGATAGTCTGTACTCTTCCATTACCCAGTTAGTTCTGATACCATCAGCTGTATAAAACAGAAAATAGTTCTTCGTTCCTACTGTTTTGTTGCTATCACTAGCAAGCACAAGCTCTTCGCCACGGCCGGCCATTGGCTTCCAGCATCCATTGCTGGTAATCTTGTTTTGTGTCCTTCTGCTATAGAAATAGCGTTTTTTACCCTCGGACAGCGCTTTGCCTGATCAGTTTTTAAAACATACAATTAAAAACCCATGTAATTAACTAACAAGCATGCATGCATGCTCATAATTACCAACATAAAACTAAGAAAAGAAGAGTGAAAATGGGAATATTAAACTTAAGATGCTGTACGTGCCATCAAGTTGCCATGGATCATAAGGATAAAGACCAAGATCGGGGATCACATCTGGATGGCAACGTAAAAGAGCTGCTTTACGATGAAGAAAATGCACTACTAGCTCTTCATCACTAGGGCAAAACCGAAAACCAGGAGGAAGATTAACACTACCCATGATGATCTTCACCAGCCCCACTCGATCAGTATATATATATACGACGAAAAACAGCTAGTTTCTAGTTCTAGTTGTCAATGATGTTTTGGACCTAAGATGATGATGAGATTTATAGAGCAAGGGGACATGAGAGATAAGGGTAAGCTGCATGTGACGTGAAAAGGAAGGCGCATTCGATGACAAATCACAGTTGGGATCCTAGTGGGTGGTGCTAGACTTGAGCTAGCTAGCGCACACACAAACACAAATATAATTTTAAAGATAGTGGATAAAGGATACTACCACTCAATGCAAATAAATAATTTGTTTTTTTTGGTGCAAACACACCTATTTTGATTTAATAGTTTTAATTATTAGATAAAATTTTAATATGTAATTTATATTATTTTTTAATATATTTTTTAAAATAAAAGTTTTTTGAACTTAAAATTTATATAAATCTACACTATTTTATATTTAATTTTTATCAAATAAAAAGAAATGATAGATTTGAATTCATGATTATTTTTTTATTAAAATTTTAATATTATATTAAAAAATCATCTTAATTCAATAATTTAAATTATTAAAAGAGATACTAAAATATAATTTTTCAACCTTTTAAATAAAAGATTTGGTATGAAAAGTTTGTTACACATAAATTTTATTTGGCCAAGTGATTGCTTGCTGTTGAAGGGAGCTAAAGAGAGTGGCAGCCTACATTCAGTTTTATCCCTTTTTTCTAATTCCTATCTTTTTATTTTTAGTAATGGACTTTTTGTGGAAGAATTCGAGAAAAAGAAAAAGAAAAAGAAAAAGAAAAAAGGGATTTTTTTAGTTGGCATCATCACACTTCATGCTTATGTCACGCACCTCTATCATTCACGACTGCAATAAGAAAATGGGTTTGGTGTTGGACCATTAGAGAATTAAGCATTGGGTAGGCCCTCACCTTTAACAACAAGCCTGTTGGTTTCCTTACGTTTTTTTTTTTATATTATATCAACAGTACGCAAGCTGAGATCTTTGCTTGTGTGTGCAAATTGTAATTCTATCATGCTCCTTTATGTATTTATCATTTTGTTCTACATGCAACTCTTCCAAGCAGATTTCTAAAATGTTTTCTATTCTCTCGACTGTAGGCAATAGTTGTTAAATCTGATCATTTAGATGAGTTGATTCAGTTAATCCAGTATTTAATTTGAGTTGTATTCTAAATAAATCTTATTTGATAGTTAATTACATGTAATTCAGTTGATTCGATTGATTTGTTTTTATTTATTAAAAAAACATTGTTTTAATTAGAAAAACTTTGAGTATCATCTTAATTGATTTAGAATAACTCGATTAAGTAAATAACTTAAATCGATAAATACTAAATTTAAAGGAAAACAATGTTTAAACTTGTTTATATTATAAAATGAATAAATGAATATTTTGTTATAAGTTATATGTCATTTATTGTTATAATTCGATGATTAATGATTGATGATCCTAAATCAGAACTCTAAATTAAGATTTTATTAACAACAAGATTAAAGAAAAATAATCATGTAATCTTTTTTATTCTACTAAACCACATGGTCTGTTAGGTATTGGTTTGAAATGAAACATTTTTTAGGCTTTATTTGTTTATAAGAAAACACTTTTATAAAAATTATTTTCTTCACTTTTCTATATTTGGTAAACTTATGAAAAGTTAATCAAAGAAAAATTTAAACTTTTATATCAGGAAAGTGTTTTTCTTTTCTTATCCTTGAAAAACACTTTTCTTTCTTTATAAAATACATAATTTACTCCAAAAAAACACTTTCTTGTGGCTGATGCAAATCCCCCCTCTCAAAACCTCTTTACTAGGAACAAAATTATCATAATTTCCTTTTTTTTTTCTTTGTTATCTACAATAAGCTTCATTAAAGCATATTTCAAATAACTCCTTTTCCTCAAATGTCTTTTATTATTTGCCTTATGTTTTTTTCTTCTTTGATTGAATTTGTAGCTATGATTATGATGTAAATCCTGTGATCTTGTTAATTTGCTTTGTTTTTCATGTTTTGTTTGATTTTTGTAAAAAAACACAACAATCCCATGCTCTATTTTGTTTAGGATTATATGATTGGCTATAAGAGTTGGTTTAAGTTTTCCAAATCATTTTCAATTCGAGTTGATTTCCACACTCCTTTTACATTATGTCCCGATGATCTCCTTCTCTAGCATGTCTCTATTTTTATATTTTTCATAATCCGTGTCTCTCACCAAGTACTCTCTCTGCTCCTGTGTCCTACCTTACTTTGGCATAACAATTATGGTGTCGTTCGTGGAAGGAAATGTTTGTTTTTGGTGGGTTTTGGCTTATTTTTGCCTTTTATGCTTTACTTTCTCTTATTAATTTTTTTGAGTCTCATTAATTTACCTAACAACAAAGCTCTTCTTTTTCATGTTCATTTATACGTTTATGTTTGTTTAAATGGACAAGTATGAGTTTTCCATGTCTTTTCGTTTAATCCATATTCTATTTTTCTTTAAATTTTCCTTCAAAGCTTGCTTTCAATTCTACTCGATCTTTTCCTCTTCCTCCCCTTCTTCTTTAATTGCTTCTCTTCTAGTAGAATCCGACCCACCTGATGATCTCTCCTTGCATCACCTTCTTTCCATCCTTTCCCATCCTAAATGGAAAAAAACACCTTTATTTCTAAAAGCTAATCCCAAATTTGACCCCTTCCCATATTTTCTCCCTCTTTAACAACCACCCTAATCTTAACCCCAATATTGCCCTTTAATTCTTCAACTACTTACCTTTATAAAACCCAACTTTAAACTCGTTGTGAAATCCCATTATTTTTTAGTGTGACAATTGTTGATAGCTTCTTGGCGACATTGTGGACACTCCTGAAGTGCGCAGCGTGAGATGCTACCTTAAGCTCTTCTTCTCTTTCTCTTTCGCTTTCCAAAAAAATTTGATTCTCGATAATTTATTTGGTCTTGGTGAGAAAATTTGCATTTCCATAATTAAAGCTTCATCTCTGTTGATGATATACATTTTCTGTTAGGTAGGCAATTGAATAGGGATGACAATGATATTAAGTTTAAGTAAAGGTTTTACGAGAAAAATATATATTCGTACCATAAAGCATAAGGATTGAGAATTTATAAAATAATCCACTTTAAGGCCTCCTTTGTTTAAAGGATTAGATATCATTGTTATAACTATTATACATTGTCAACTCTTTTTATTTCTAACCTTTTAATTTATAATGTATGTTAGTTTGAGCATAATTTCTTGTATTGATTGTGTAAGTATTTGATATGCTTTTTTAATTTTTATTTCCTTAAATTTTTAGGTTTTTTTATAAAAGAACTTCACTTTCTTGTTATGAATAGTAAGATTATTCATGCAACATATATGAAAGCAGCAGGGATAACTATTATTGAACAAGAAAAAAATATAATTTATATACTAAGAGATTTTATATTGATAGCATTTTGAATTGAGGTGATAGACATTGCGTTGAACAAATACGTATGAAACTAGTTATATTATATAATTTGTGTGATGTTCTCAAAAGTCATAACCTATTATGATCAACTCAAAATGTGTTTATTAGTAAGTACTTGTGTTTTTACAAATTAGAGGTCAAAACCAAAAATTCCATTTTAATAGTGGTATATACTATAGGTCTGTTGAAACTATCAATCGTTATTTTAAAATTGTATTAAAAGTAGTTCTTAAATTATACAGACACTTTATTAAAAACCCAAGAGATACAGTTTCCGCAGAGATAATGAATAATTGCAGATTCTATCCTTATTTTAAGGTATGAGAACAATATCAATATTTTTACACATTAATTAATTACATGTAGAAGAAAAGGTTATAAATTATTTTTCCATGTTTATATAGGATTGTGTGAGAGCAATTGATGGTACCCATGTTCCTGCATATGTTCTTATTGAGATTCAAGGAAAGTTTTGAGGTAAAAAAGAAAAACAACACAAAATATTTTAACAGTTGTAACTTTTGATTTGAAGTTCATATATGTTTTAGCTATCTGGGAATGAAATGCACACGATTTACGGGTTTTACATGATGCATTATCAAGACCTAGTGGTCTAAAAATTCTAGAAGGTATATAATAAAGTATTTGTTAAACGCAATAAACATATAAAATGTCTAATTAGATAAAGATAGTACTAGTTTTTTTTTTTTAATTTATAGGGAAATATTATCTTGGTGATGCTAGTTATGGTATTTGAAAAGGAATCATTTTTTATTTTCGTGGAGTTTGATATCACTTCAATGAGTTTACAAAACATTCGCCAAAAAATAAAAATGAGCTATTTAATCTTCGACACTCTTTATTGAGAACCGCTATTGAGTAAGGGTTTGATATTTTGAAGAGTGGTTTTAGATCAATTGATGAAAAACCTTTTTGGTCTTATGAAAGACAAGTAGATGTTATGTTTGTATGTTGTATTATTCATAATCACAAAATAAGAGTTGATCCTTATGACTTTCTTATGGAAGAAACATGTTTGGAAAGTGAACCAATTAGACAAACATTCAACTTAAGTTAATAGGAGGAGAGGGAAAAAAATAGGGAGTCGATAACAAAAAGAGAAATGATTGTATCAACTATGTGAAATGATTATAAAAGAAACTAGTAATTGAGTGTTAATTATATGTGTTTGTTTTTATTATGTCTTTCTTGAGTTTGTATTATCATTGTTATATATTTGGATTGCTTGTTGACTTTATTATAATTTTTTTATATATTTTATGTATTATTTTTTTAAATATTAATTGTAGTTTTTGTATAAAATTTATTAGATCTAAATATTATATGATTTTATTTTGTATAAATTTATAATTTTTTTTATAGAAATGAGTACTACACAAAATGAAAAATGCAGGGGTAAACAATTCACATAGTCTAAGTCTATATCTCACATGTTACTTGAAATGTTAGCTGAGAAGGCACTTGAAGAAAATAAGTCTTTTTTCACCTTTAAAGCAAAATCTTTTGTTAAGGTGGCTACATAAATTAGCTAAAAGTTCAACATGTAATGGGAGTCTAAGCACGTGGACAATTATCTCAAAACC